TCCTGACAGAAAGACTCGCATTTTAATGGATCCAACTATCTCACTCCGTAATACATTTCCGTTGGCACTGACCTGAACAAAAACAAAGGTAAGATTGCTCTGATGTGATATGTCTCGACATCAAACAATATTGCCACCACATCCCCATGTCCCAGGTTTTTTCGGGTATCTTTCTCCTGAGAAATCAATCAAGCAGTGTAGAATTACACCAGGGAGGCGATGGGCATAGGCAGAGCAGGAAAGAGAGTATCAGAAGTTAATTTACATCCAAGTAAAGCATTATTTGTCTACTCGATGTCCTTATGAGTACTCCGTCATAAGGACTGACGTTGTTTGGAGCATCACAGGACTCTGGCCACAGTCAGACTTTTTGTTTCCAGACAGTAAGTCCTTTTCAACACTTCCTATTACAATTCTAATTAAAAGTTAAAGGTACCCACCAAAAGGTTAACAGACTCTATAACATCCAGGAACACCTCATTTTTCCTGTATTTGATCCCTTCTGATCTCCACGAAACGGCATTTGTAACAGTGGCAGGTGGACGTGGAGCTCCAGTTTCAAGTTTGTGACCTTCCTGAGTGATGTACCTTCACAGCCACAGAGTTGGCATGAAAAAACGAAAATTAATTTTATTGATAATTAGAGCAAGCCAAAGCATTTGTTTGCATACAGAAGAATGCTCAAAGTCTGTCACTGTAAGTGATGCAGACTTATACTTACTCTTGCAAAATTTTACTATCAGTGGTTTGTGGATAACCAAAATCCATAAGCTCGTCTAACAACTCATAAATAATAACAAAATTATCCCTAATGCTCTCTTCTTCCAACTCCTTGAAATACTCAGAAAAAACCTGAAAGAAAACAACAGGAGGAAGGGGAAGGAGGACATTAACTCAGGAACTATAGCACATTCAGAATGTATTCTTGCATCTAAAATAATAATTCAGAAAAAGCCCCAAACCAAATCTCATAGCTCACAAAGAACATTCTGTTCAGAAGATCAGCCTCAAGAAACTCATAAAACTCTTAAAAAAAGAGAGCTACAGAATCCTAAAACCAACTCTGAGCATTATGAAAAATATTTCTTCCAGGGTAACTATTTTTCATGCCAGGTGCAGATTAACCAAGCACAGAATCTACACAATACACCACTACTCATGCATCAAGTTCACATTTCTCCTCTGTGCTCTCAGGTCTTGTCCAACTACTTACAGCGTTGTGTCCCCTCCTCTGCCTACTCAGCTACAAAATATCAATTCCGTTAGTAGTGGTTAGGAAGAGAGTTCTATAAAATAATCAAATATAAAGTAAAAATGCTATCACCAGAGTTCTTTAAAACTGCAAAAGCTCTCTTTGCATCTATTTAGATCAGATTTAGATTGAACTGAAAAGGACACGGAGGTTACTTTTCAAATTTCATACTCACCTGAACTACTTTATATAAAAACGAAAACACCAGTGATACACAAGCATTTTTCTTAGAAGTTGCAACAACTGATAGAAGATGTTCAGGAAAATGCATTGAAAGTTACTACTAAAAAAAAATGTTTACTAAGCGCCTTTTTAAAAGCCTTTGAGGCGACTGGTGTTGGCCAAAAAAGAGTTAGTTAATTAGCAGTACTTCTGGCCTAACGAGATATGAAGAGAAACATTCAGGAAATTTATTAGAGTAGCGTAAAATTAATATAAATGCTTTTCTGTACCCCATACTGCTGGTATATGTTACACTCCATAAAGCATAAACCAACTTTATTTAATAAAGCTTCCTTATGTCACTTCACTCATTTTCTATTTTGCATTTAGACACAGACAACGAAAATTATACAGCAGCACCCAGCACATGCGAGCTCTCTGCAGTGTAAAGGATACGATATAAGTTGTTATGTTTAATCCACATAAAACGAACTCCTCCATGGGCTAGAATAGGAGAAAGTGTCCCCTCTTCTTCCTTTTCCATAAGGATTGGCATAAAATGCTCCACCTCGGACATGTCCACATCTCCGCGGTAATTCCGACAGATGAGGACCTATAGAGAGAGCAACAAAATCCTTGTATTTGTTCCTCTTTCATGAGATGATGCCATCACGCAAGCCCAACACACAAGGTATCTGAAAGACCTCTTTAAATAACTTCTAAAAAGTCACCAAGCTTCACTCTATCAATGCAAGTCACAATGCCAAAATACTTTGCTGATTACAATGCAAACCCTAATCTTTCATTGCAAAGTCATGTATTAATATTTTCTCGATTTAATCTTCACCTATTGCTGCACACGCCCTAATAACACTTTTAAGATGGGAAAACATGAAACTCCTCTGAGACAAACTACCTCCAATTAGGGTAGAGATTAATTAGCCCAGGTAGGATGCCCAAAGGCCCTGCTCCCAGCAGCCACCTCCCTTAGCAACTGCAACCGCGGGGCGCAGACCCAGGCCACGGCTGCCCGGTCACAGCCCGGCCCCGCAGCGCCAGGTAAAACCGGGGCTGGCAGCACGGAGCGGTCGGGAAGGAGAAAGCTGTTCCCGCAGACCCCACCGAGGCCAGCAGACCCCCACCGACCCGGGGCCCCTCACAGACCAGAGCGTGGCGGGGGGAGGTAGACCCGCCCTCCTCAGGCCCGCTGAGTCCCCCCCGCGCCCCAGGCCTCACCTTCCCCTTCAGGTCCAGCACGTAGACGGCGCTGGCCGACATCGCCCCTCCGCCCCTTCCCGCCCGGGCCGCCGTCTCGCCGGGCCGCACACACACCGACTTCCGCTTCCGGTACTGCCACTTCCGGCAGGAACTGACGGAACGAGAACCGACCGACTGCTGCGCAGAGGGTTCCGCTCGGGGCTCTGCCGCGGCAGCGAAAGAACATCTTGACTACCGAGTGCGCACGTTAAATAGTCCCGGGGACTTTTTCCCCGCTGGGAATTGGTCCCACAGCGCGGGCAAGCGGGGTCGGGGTCGTAGCCGCAGCCTTACAGGGGTGGGCAGGCTGAGGGGGAGCATCTCGGGCCCACCCAGCGACAGCAAAGAGGGAATATTTGGGGTTAAGAACAATATTCGGGCTTAAGAGACACGTTAGGATTTTAAACATGGAGCTCCACATCACCTCTCAAAGGGAGCAAGAATTGTAAAGGCTGGCAAGGCGCTTCAAACACTTCCCACACAAACTGTGCGCTGCCCCTGATGTTCCAGGCAAGTCTCCACCAAGACGAAGGATGAAAGCAGCTTTTTAATAAAAGGTTATATTGAAGTTACAAGTGACAGCAGACCCCTCCCACCTCTGAAAACTCTAGAAAGAAATGACACAAATTCTATCACTTACAAGAGCTTTTGCTATGTGACACTGTAAGACTCTTCACTTCCAAAAAGGAGAACTGGGAGTACCAAACAAACAAACATTTTCCAGCAACTTATTTTGACCTTAATCTCACTTTGAGCCCTAGAAATAGCCCTCTGCACCTACACAAATCGGAGCTCACAGGCCAAGAATAGACTGTTCAATATTTGGTTTTTAAAAAAACAAAGCAATAAAATAAGACAGTGTAAAGTCATAAAGGTTCAGAAAATATATTAAAGATTAAATATGGAGAATACAGAGATATACACGGCATGCCTGTTCAATACAAAACAAACAAAACACAGCCCCTGATGCAGAGCCTTGGGAAGCAGCCTGTTCACTTTGTCCAGCTGACTTTAGGAATGTCGTAATGCTCAGTCAGGGTATCCAAGTGCCTGTTGAAGTCCTACGGGAGAGAAAGAGAAAGAATACCTTTAATGGTTGGCACTGACATCACCACCGTTGAACCACAAGACCCTCTGTCGTCGTCCCCCCCCTTTTTTTTTCCCCCCTTCCGTGCTTCACAAAGGCGAAAGGATTCCTCCAGTCGGACGAGCCTCTGTGGTGACAAATACACACCGGCCTGAGTGATTCGGGATAATTTAGCTTACCTCCACTCGCTGCTTATGGGTTTTAGACGCTTTCTTCAGGATCCTCTCCATTTGCTGGAGAAAGACACAAGAGGGACCAGTTACTCCCAGCACTCGTAGCCTCTCAGGGGCTGCAATCTGAAGGGTCGACTAGGGCTTTTAAATCCCCACCCGGCCCCCAGATGGGGCCTGGCCCAGGCAGAGCAGCCCTACCCGCTTCTCCTGCATCTTCTCGTAGGCCCCTTGCGCCGGGGTCCGCTTGTCCAGGCCGCGCTTCTTCTCCTCCTCCTGCTTCTTGCTGCTCACGATCTGCTCCAGGATCTGAGCCTTGTCCTTCGCCTTCTTCTTCTTCCTGCGGGCAGCGGGCGGTCAGCGCC